CTTAACCAACTGAGCCACCCAGGCGCCCCTCTTGGTTTTCTTTTCTTACCCTTCTCCAACCCTCAGTACTATGCTCACCCTTGAATTCTGGTTTCTTTTTTTACCCCAACAGTTATTTTAAAATGTTCTTGATTAATTTGACATTAACCAATCCACACAATTATAAAAAAGCATTAGAAGAAATGATATGAAACACTATGTATAATTTTTCAAAGGGAAAAGGCCCTATTTATTTTTGAAGACACACAACCCAGAGTTCGCGAAAAGATACACCTCATCAAAATTTACCTCATATCAATGAAAACTGCTACATGATGAAAGACACCTTCAGAAAGTTAAAAGAGAAGTGAAAACCTGGGATAAAATACCTGCAATATGCCTAACAGAGAATTAATAAGTAGCATATACAAAGAAGTCCTAAAAATTAAAAAGGAAAAGTCAAGCCACTAATAGGGAAAAAAATGGGCAAGAGAAATAAATAATGAGCAAAAGAAGAAATACTAATGGCCAAGAAGCATGTATAAGGATCACCAATTGGATCAGTATTTAGAGAAATGCAAATTAAAACAATAAAAGTGGAATCATCTTCACCCGTCAGACATTCCTACTTTTCACTTGTTGGACAATTTGTGTACGATGATTATGTACAGACTATAGACACGGAGAAAATAAACACTCTTATACTGATGAAATACAAGTGGCAAAACCCACTTGCAGGGCGATTTGGCTATGAAATTTAAAAGTTTAAATACCCCTTAACCTAGGAATTTCGCTTCTTAAAATCTGTCCAGAAGAAATCCTTGTACATTCACAGAAGGGTTTATATGCAGATACACGCACACAGAGACAAAGAGACGCACTACATATTTGTCTTTACACTAAGAGCAAGAAAAGAAAAAAAGAAACAACTAGGTTATTATTAATAATTATTATTAATGTAGTAGTGGTAAAATTAATGACTACATCTGGGTTTCTGTTATACAGAATGAGGTAGACCTCTATGTACTGGCTTGAAAAAAATCTCTAAAAAGATAGATTCTTTGGCAGAATCAAATTTAGAACAGCACCTATCGCACTTAAGTTTAAAAACATAAATGTGCCTATAAATTCACTGAAGGAGGAGCAGAAATATGCACAGCAAGTCGCTGACAGCAGTTAACTCTTCAACAATGCGAACGCACTCACTGTACACTGTGGTTACTACTTCTAACTCTCGCCATTAATACAGAGGTTCTTAAGGCGGAGACACGTGGATCAAAGAGACCTGTTTCTGAAGACGTCCTGGGTCCTGCCCATTTCTATATTCTGAAACCTGAAGTAGCACCTACTGGTACTGGTACTAAATTATAGGGAGGACTTTTAGTTCCAGCCTGTGTGGCTCTGATTTTTCTCTCCCCCCAGAGCTTATTCCGGTATAACGGTAAAGCCCCGTGTTCCTTGTGTACTATCAGGAAACTACTGGGGTGCCTTGTGTGGGACAGCACAAGCTGGACTTCTCGTTCCTCGAATGCAACTGACACTGCTCTAAAAATTCTGTGCAGAGCAAAAGGGTTCAGACGAACCCGAGTCTCTCCCCTAAAGTGGGAGCCCGTAAAGTCTTTCAAACTCGGAGTAATTCTCCCCCCAGATTATGATCTACCAGGAAAATATATTTGATTGCTCTGAGACTCTGAGTGCCACTCCTATGTTCTGATATCTGGAATCTTTTCTCAGGAAGTACTTATGATCTCCTATAATCCTTTTTTTCTTTTCTCTTTTCCTTCTTCCCTCCTTCCTTCCTAATTTCCTTTTTTCCTCCCTCCCTTCCTTTTACTTCTTTTTCCTCTTCTTCTCCTTCTTTTTTTAAGCCATCCCCCCTTTCTTCCCAGTTCTGGTACTCTCTATTTTATTTATTTAAATTTTATTTTAATATGTGTTTGGAGAACACAGTAGTCCCATCTTCCTGCTAGGACTTTTTAAGGAATCTATTTTCAAACATTTCCTTATTTCCATCTGGTAATCTCCAAACTTAGATGGCCCTGCCCACTCGCCATACTCATTCTGCTGCTTACATTAACATTTCATTCATTTTTCCACTTCTGGGTTTTACTGCTAGTGCACTCCCACATTTTCTTGCAGTCTAAAACTTCTGTTTGTGTTCTGTCTCCCTCTCTCTCCTGTTTTTATCTTTCTAATTTCTGAATAACCTCAATCGAATTGTACTTTCCTCTCCATTATCATCAGCCTCCACTTAAAAAAAAAGAAAAAAAAGAAAAAAGCCTGTTCTAGGTCCATCTTCCTGACATATTCCCACAAACTAATACTTCTGAAGGACAAAAAAATAACTATCTAATTACAAGTAAGATGGATCACACCTGGCATTGTATTTTGGCATGCCCCTATTCTTACATAAAGGTTGGTATTTTTGTGTCCTCAACCACCCAATCTCTAAGACAGGGCTTGAGTCCCATGCCTTAAGAACCCACAGGGGAGCTATCCACTGGAGGACCAGACAGGGGAAGCAAGATGTCAAAAAGAACTCTAACTAGGAAGGTGGGAACATGGTAACAATGGTAACATATTTTGGAGAAATCATCTTGTTTATTTATTTATTTAAAAAAATTTTTTTTAAGTAGGCTCCATGCCCAACACGGGGCTTGAACTCACAACCCCGAGATCAAGACCTGAGCTGAGATCAAGAGTCGGATGCTCAACCAACTGAGCCACCCAGGCGCCCCGAGAAACTGTCTTGTTAATAAGTATCTTAATTGCTATAAAGGTAGAATTGCTTCTGGCAAGCTTTTGCATTTTGATGCTTGCATAGTGGGGCCACCATATGGGGAGCTATTTAAAATCAAGAAACCCTCTACTGAATGAAATTCTCAGTGGGTATGCTAGGTAAAAACAAGGATGCTCATAAAAGTATGCAGGGAGAACTGGAGAGTGCTTTGCCAACCTGGGTCATGGAAAGCGTATCGAGGTTCGGCGCTGCTTTTCTTGTTCTCATGTGAGAAGGCTATAATTCTGGGGGAAAGAAGGAAATAAAGAATAGAAGAGGAATTTCTCCTGAGAGTAACAGAAGTCTATGAGCTATATGAAATAGTTAATGGAGTATATTCCCTGGGTATACTAAAACTAAATGCTGTGGACAACTATTAATATTCCCATAGTAGAATCTGTTTTTCTGCCTATCCAGCATCCATACCCCTTTGTTCTGGTGATAGAATGTCAATTTTTCTTTGGCCAGGGGACGAGGTCAGGCTCGGACCCAGGCCTCCTGTAACCATTGAGAAAGGCTGTCTCCTTGTACGGGGGTTATTATGCGGTGCGATGTAAAAGCCAGAGCTGCTGGGGGGTCATTCTGAGGAAGAGACAGTCAAAGAATGGTGCCAACGTGGAATAAAGCAGAGCTGACAGAAGAATTAACTCAGATTTCTGTTATTGTTTAAACACCTAGGTGCAGCTATCTCTGAATTTTTCAGTTATATAAGCTAATAAGGTTTTCTCCTTTAAAAGCTTAAGACCGTTCGAGTGGAATTTCTATCATTTGCCACCCAAGAGTCTCTCCTGGTGAGAATAACAAACACGAGGGATATCCTTGTGGAGAGGAAGCGGAAGCCTGTGGTAGAGTAGCTGTGAGACAGATGGGGCCATTTTCAGAAGTTGACAGGGGGACACTCGAGTAGCTACAAAATGAGGCAGCAGACACTCACAGTCTGACACCCCAGTCCCGGTCACACTGCACTTAATGGTGACCGGTTCCCGGCTCTTCACCTGCCTTTTTGCTGATCTTAGCAACTTCCCCATCAGAGTGAGTTCTGGGATATGAACGGGAAAATGGCCCAGCCCAGAGGGAGGCTGACTCTGTAGGTGCGGAAAGAGTTGAAGAAGAAATATTTAGAAGCCAAGGCTAGGCATGCACGGGTCTTATTTTAAACATTCTGCTCTACTGACCTCATATGATGCCAGTGATAGCCTTAATGGCCAGATTATATGCCTTGATTTGGGGTTTGGTGTGGAAAATATGGTCTTTATTCACACAGTCCATGCTTAAGTTCAAACAACCCTCTAGCTTAGGTTATAAGGCAGCCGGGTTATGATCTCAGGATATAATACAGCTGGCATTGAGTTTCCTTCTCAGAAGATCAACAAAATTAGGTTGGGGACAGGAATACAAATTATTTATAAGAAATAAGTAAAGAACCCACAGGAGGTCTTCTATTGGCTCAGATTTCCCCTTGGAGACAGAAGCCTAGAGATAGCATAGTTTCATGCTAATAAGAATAAACAAAGGGGGAACAGGCCAATTCACAGCTGATAAATTTTGAGGCAAGGGAAAAACCTCCTTAGCTGATAACAATACTAAAGAGTTGATTAGCCCCTAAATTACTCTGCCATGTCTCTGCAGACCTGGCCCTGCAGTCTGCTTCCCTCTGAGAGAGTTTGTAACCACCTCAATGTAATCTCCTTTTAGAAGACAAAATCTGGAATATACGATCAAGGAAGGAAAGAAGCTCCCCTTCTTCCCTAGGCAATAGAAAACAATGGGGCAGGGGCTCCTTGGGGAAAAACAATGAGGAAAGCTGCCATCTGGCCTGTGGTGGGGGAGGATTAACGCTGCCATTTCTACAAAGCGCACCGTTAAGGGGGAATTGAGGCAACAAGGTATCGCTAGGCAGGAAAAGGTTTGAGGGCTAAGGACGACCATATCTATCAGGACGAAAAGGAAGAGAAGCTTTGGCTCAGGTTTCTTGACAGCCCAAGTTTAAAAACAAAATAGGGAAAATCGAACAGTTAGCTAGAAACTAAAACGGAGAAGGGCAGCCCGCTGCCCCAAAGACGAGACACAAATAACACCTGGTTTGAGAATGACTGTAGGCGTGGGCTAGCGTGCGCATGCGCGTCCGTGTGTGCGTGCTCATACCTGCACGCGCGTGTGTGCGCGCGTGCGTGCGTAGTATGTGCGCATGTGGGCGTGCGTGTAGTATGTGCGCATGTGCGTTGGGGAGCTGGAAGAGGGGAGGTTGAGGGTCGGTTCTAGTCCCTCTCCTTCCCAAAGAACAGTAGTTAGATCCACACTATGAAGGAAAGAAAAGACTGTTCATCTCCCGTGACAACCTCCTGTGAATTTCAGCTAGCCAAGACGAAAGCAAAAGGAAAACGGGAGTCCTAGCAGCTCCTACTTACGACATAACTATGTGCCTGGCAATGTACTAAGTACCTGAATTCTCTCACTTAGCCCTTTCAAAAACTCTTTTGTTCCTGTGTCACAGATGAAGCAATTGTGAAGTCACATAGGTACAAGGTAGAGTGAAGATCTGCACTCTTCACCAACACTACTGCTCCTGTGGACGTTCCCAGGGAGCAGACGGAACGAAGGAGGGGGTGGGGAAACACATCCTAATGCACAGAGCAAGTGGCCACAGAGGCCCAGAGAGGAACTAAATCCCTTCTAAAAACTCAGTCCTAAAGGTACGCCGAAACCGAGCAGCTATCGGGGGCACCCATTCCATCACTGGAGAAGAAATCACCGGCTCTCACTCTCTATTCTTTGAAATGAAAATGCGCACAACAGGGGAAAGAACTACTTCTTAACCAAGGGCCTACACTGGGTGGAATATCACAATCTTTTAGCAGGCTGTGAAGTTTAGGATAAATAGACACCGGGAGTACAGCTTCAAGGAGGCTGTTTTCTTTACTATTTTATTTTTTCCACCCGTGCCTTTCTTCAGAAGAGCTTGGGAAATGCCCTGCATCTTTTGGAATGTTTAGTTATTAAAATATTACTTTAGAGCTCCCAATTCACAGGGCCGTATATACCGTGATGAGGAGAACCGTCATCTGGAGATTAGGAAAAGCGATGGAGAACAATGTACATTATACAGTAGCTTGGTTACCTTGCCTTTTCCCTGAATGATAATAATCTTGCATTTGTTTCAGGGAAAATAGGGAGTAAAATCACTGGATCAGCACTCATAAATTTTTCAATCAATCTAATCTATGGGGATCTGATTTTTTTTGGCACCAGATAACTATGTAACTTATAAACCTGTGTTCTGGCACACACTTTTGTTTCCACACTCAGCATTTCTTACCTCCTTCATTGTCCTTGCTATCTGTGCAGAGAGTCTCCATGGCTACGTCACATCCTGCTCCTCTCCACCCTGGCTGGCAAACACAATGCCAGCCGTTTTGGTCCAGGGTACATCTTCCATTGCTGTTGCACAGCCCAGGACAACCCTCTGTCAAAGGAGACAAAGAAGGAAAGCACAAGTGATTTGAGTATTGAAAGTTTTTGCACCTAAGATAAACAGATAAGGGACACTTAGTGGGAACAGGCCTTTGTAAACAGCACAAATACTGTAATTGCACATGGATAGAAACAGCAACAGTCTCTAAGGAATCTAATTCTTATCCAAGTGGCATCTTTGATTGGCCTGACCCTTGAGACACCACTTACCTGTGCAGGACAGAAATATATGCAACGATCCACTAACTAGCCGCAGGCCAGACAAAATTAACTTTTTTTTTTTTTTCCCTTTAGCAAAGCAACAAGGTTGATTGTATGGTGTGAAAAAGCATCTCGACAAGACAATTTCATAATCCCTGGTATAGATTTTTAATCTGTTGTAGACATTATCGGCTACTCATTAGGACATGCCTTCTTAAAGCACCTTGTTGCTTTAAAAAATTCCCTCTAAATTCAAAAGCATGGAAGTGGGTATGAGGATGTGAACGATGTTAAAAAGAGAACATTAATTTTATCTGGCCTCAGAGTTGCCGTACATTCATGTGAAATTACAGTGCATTAAATAACTGCACAAAGTATAGGCCAGTCTTGATGACTATACTTTATGCCAAGAGTACATTCCTTTTCACAGAATAAGCAAAGCCCAGGAAATAGTGAAGCAGCTTAGCATCTATTCTAACAAACATCAGGATTCAGGCTGCATACGGATGGGACAGGACCGACAGGATTTCCAACTAAATGTAATAGCTGTGCATATTTGATTACTTAGGACGGACAAAATGAAATACCATAAGGACCACAATAAAACATTGATAGACCGAACAAAAACACGGTAGTGACGTGCTTCAAGACAGAGAGCGAAGAGTGATATTTTGTGACAATCTCCCTAAGGCTTTTATGCTGTTACCTTTATATCCTATCTTGTCTGCTTTTATGGGCAAGGAGGGAAAATTTGGGAAACAATTAAAATAATTTAATATATCCAAAATCTATAGTTGTTTCAGTCTAACATGACATTTAAAAAAAAACACTTTTTGCCACTTCCTACTGATGATATCTGGCATGCGGCCAACATGATCTGTTTATGAGGATGGACACTTAGGTAGAGTTCGGTGTTCTTGTCTATGAGCGTGATGTGACACCGGCAGAAACAAGGATATAGATGCTCCCAAACTGTAAGAATAATTAGCTATTGATCAGATCTCTTTGGACAGAATTATTTATAATTTGACATAAAACACATACTAGCCAAAAATGCTTGCTAGAGCGATGGGGGTTATTCAGCTTCTTATAATGAGAATGCTACTCTTGTTTCAGTGACAAAATTTAAGGGAACGATCTGTTTAAAGATGTTTATTTTATGTCATTTTAAAAGAATTATTCATATACTGGCTTCCCCTCCTCCACTGTGGAACTTGAAATGAAAATACCTCAAAGAGACGTTCTGTCTCTTAAGATGAGAGCTAAGAGAAAGAAGACTACTTTGACAGTCTCTTGTGGCAGGAGAAAATGAAATTATACTTATGGATACCATCAGGTCAGGAGAAGATTAATTTTGCTGCTTCTTTTCTCTCAGACAATTATCATCTGTATCTATGGATTTCCAATACCTAAAAGGTCAGTTTTCCTTCCAGATGTTTTCTGTTTTGTTTTTAATGAAAAAGAAAGATTTAATTGCCCCACTGAAGAAGAGGTGCATCAGCTGACTGCATGCACACAAGGGTTATATGAAAGCCTGGATATTGCCATGAATATTTTCATATTCTAATGAAAAGCACAAACAAGGAATAGAAAATAGGTAATCTGAGGAGAAAGGGAGAGGGAATTTTCTCTTCTGAAAAAATATTTTGCACCTATTTCTACGAGAACTGAAGAGACGAGAATCTGCTGTTTTCTGCTGAGCAAAGTTATCATTTCTGTTTGGCAGAATGCACTGTAATTTTGTCATTTTGTCAGAAAATAACAGAACAGAAATTACGGTATCACGTATATTTTGAAACATTTAGAAGAAGCCAAAGAAGTTTCCATATAAGGATAAATGAGACTTCTCTCAACATATATTAGCCAGAATCTTCTTTAGATTGACAATTTCTTATTCTGTGATAAGAGAGTGAGCATTTGTGATTCTTCAGGATAGAATTTAAAGCTCATTAGCTGAATTGCCAACAATGAAGATCTTAAGGCAAAAGAAAAAAAAAAAACAACAAACAAAAAACAGCAAATGTACTGTTATCTTCAGTTTTTGATTCCAGTGAAAACTAATGCTTTTACATAGGAATGAAATCTGTGATAACCCAAAATTATAAAAATGGGACACGGACATTGAAGTCTCAATACTTTAAATCCAAGGCATTTCACATAATGTAAGCCTGATTTATAATTTACAAAAATATGCATGAGAAACAGTCTATTTTCATACCTAGTACAGTCTGATACACGGTTATATATAGATATATATTTAGATATGTCAACAAAGAGCAAGTATACAGTACCTTTAACTATCTTATCCAAATAGTGAGCTTGAGAAATTAAAAAGGAAAAAAGAACAGACAGACATTTCAGAAGTGTCACATGGGACAAGGAAATTTTCAGAATTCACATGCAAATCGAGTAGCTGTAGCTAACATGAGACTCACATCACACGACAGAGATGCACTTCATTATCTTCTAAAACTGCAATATATTCATGTTTCAGTAAGTGTGGCCATGATTCCAGGAAATACTCAGCATTTTCAAGAGAAGTGTGTAGGTAAACTAACAACTACCTTTCACAGATAACCTGGAATGCACCCACCCTGAATCCTTCTGGAGATTATACTTTAATAGCTAAGTAGAACAAATGGAATCAATTCTTTTTACTAAAGAAATTGCAAAATTTACGCCGATGAGAGTTACAAATAAACTTTTTTGGGGGGAGGTAGAAAATAATGCTAATTTTTAAACATTTGCTTTTAACGAAGTAGTTTTGTAAGGGTTGCACGGTTCAGGGCAAAAAGGATAACACAGAAGCCATGGAGGAACCATTTATGTGTGTTCTGATGCTGTCTTTCTTCAACCTGCGAGATAAACCCACTGAAATCCTCCTGCCCTCACCTTCTGTCTTGAGCCACTTGTGTATTTACATATTATCAAACTTTAATGTCTAGTAAGTAAGAAAAAAAAGGAAGTAATTGAGAATCTTTGAGCAAATGGAGCAAACTTAATATACTATGAAAAAGGCACGTGTAAAATCTATAGAGAATGATTACCCCATGGCCCCTGACTACATGTCGGATGGACAGTGGTATATCGCATATGTAGTCTATTATGAAGTACAGACTCTCCTAAGATCCTGTTTCTTTTCAGGATTCGTCCTGGAACAGCTCTGTTTCTCACAAAAGCTCTGTAGAAACAGTCAGGATTAAGACTGAAGTCTTTTACTGTACCTGTCCATTTAATCTTTCATGAGGTTACAATTAGGCTACACCTTTCCTCTTGAACGGAGGCATACAACCTGTCTCCCCTCACTCAGCATAGAGACAGAATATATTCTTAATAAGCCTGAAATCTTCTTGCTTTGTCAAAATTCATACATCTTTAATGATCTAAAATTGCTTTTCAAAGATGCTTATGTTGATGATTTTTCATTACTGACACATGCAAGTGATAGCCGAACTCCTAACAGAATGATTTAAACTCTAACTTCCAGTCGAGCCACTCAGATCTGGTAGTTCTGTCATGTGCATAAACAAAACCGTAAATGCTTCTGACACATCTGTACTGTGGATATAAAAGGATTCTTCACGTTGCCAGAGGATTCCATTAGAGGCTTTTGAATTGCATTTAAACATAAGTTGTTTATAACTAATTGACAATATATTGCAGGGGAAATTAAGGTGAAGAAGAAACACTGCTACGTACGACTCTGAAATGAGAACTTAATGAAAATAATTCTATTTTCAAATGTTAAAATAAAAATGTACTATTGTATAACATCATGCATATGATTTCTCAATGATCCCTTGTGGACATTATATAATCTAGTAGAGACTCATAATAGCTTAACTGATGATCTAAACATAAACAAAGTGCCTTGTTTAAAAATTCTGGAGTTTCTGATTCAGACAGGGTAGTATTTTTGAAGGAATTCTTAATTTATAAAAATTTATCACACAGATCTTAGTTGGAGCGTCTTTTCCTTTTACCTCTGGTCCACTTCGGTTAACACAACCAAAATAAGGAATGCAATTAATTCTGATCTGGATTAGTAGTTTTAAAGGAGGAATGGATTATTTCTAATCCAGCCAATCCTATTATCTTAGCAAACAGAATCAATTATACAAAACAGTGGACTGATTACAGGTGAAGTTAGGTTTGTCATTGGGTCAAAAGAACAAACAAAAGTGGAGATGAAATTAGCAAATATAGTTCAAATATACAGCAGGTCAACGTTATAATGTAAAGTTATATAACACTTTAAATATTAAAAATATTTAACACAAATGTTGCAAACAGTTAAAACCAACCATAAGAACAGGATCCGTACTGAGAAAGAGACACCAAGATTTGTCATTTGCATTTTATATCATAGGAAATAACTGTGAGGCTGACCGTTTCAAACCAAGACAGAAAGGGGTAAAAACCACCACGTATATTTTGTCCTCGAAGATGAAAATTTCTGAGAATCCCACAAAAGCCTCGTTCTAAATAATAAAGATGCTAAAAGGAGATGTCGATATATGAGGTTCAAATAATTATTAAAAATAATAATTGCTACAATAAAAACATCATTACATAAGCCACTACAGGAAATTATCAGAAAAATGCAGGCATGTTGCAAGAAGCCATTAGGAACAATAATCGTAAAAATAATACAGTATATTTAAAAATTAATATACCTAACAATGGCTGAAATGCACATTAAGTTGCAAAAAAACTGCTTTGGAAACTAATGTGTGCTCTGACACTAAAACAAAGTCCTTCCTATTAGATCTACTCACCAAAAGTTTTAAATTTGCTTT